CAAAGGAAGACATCCAAGCAGCTGACAAACATGAAAAAATGCTCAGCATCACGAATCATCAGAGAAATGCAAACCAAAACCACGACAAGATACCATCTCACACTAGTCAGTATGGCTACTATCACATCAAAAAAACAACAGCAGCTGGGGAGGCTGCAGAGTAAAGGGAACACTTATACACTGCTGGTGGGAATGTAAATTAGGCCTCTGGGGAAAGCTGTCTGGAAATTTCTCAAAGAACTAAAAATAGAACTACCATTAGACTCAGCAATCCCAGTTTTGGGTATATACCTAAAGGCAAATAAATCATTCTACCAAAAGCCCCACATACACATGTACGCTCGCTCATCACAGCACTGTTCACAGCAGCGAAGACAGGGAACCAAGCTAGATGCCCATCGGTGGTGGACTGGATACAGAAAGTGTGCTACATACACACCATGGAATACTACACAGCTATAAAAAATAACAAAATCATGTCCTTTGTAGCAACATGGATGCAGCTGGAGGCCATTATCCTAAGCAAATTAACACAGGCACAGAAAACCCACAAACATGAAGATGGGCACAGCAGACACTGGGTACTCCAAAAGCAGGGAGGGAAGGAGGCAGGGAGGGGCTGAGAAACTTCTGACTGGGTACTGTGTACACCACCTGGGGGAGAGGATCAATGGAATCCCAAACCTTAGCATCGTGAATATGCCCTTGAAACAACCTACACACTGTGTACAACAACAACATGTACACACTGACTCGAAAATAAAATGGATGTCATCACAGCACTTACTTCCCAGGCTGTGAAGACAAAATGTTAGTACATATGAAGTGTTTTGAGCAATGTTCGAGCAAGTCTTTGATACATGTGAGCTATTAGTATTCAGGATAGTCATGTAAATAATTTATTGTCCAAATGCAGACCCTTTAATCTGGGACAAAGGCTGAACTATATAGAACTCTTAACAACTGGCAAATTGGCTGTCCTGGACAGGGAGCATGTAGCCAACCCACGAGTATTAACCAATGTCAAGGTCACACACTGTACAAATAGACACAAAAATTAACAAAATTTGTGTATCACTGGGTACTAGAGTGTGTAAGAGATCCGATGTAGTAAGAAAGACATAAAAGATCACGAATTATAATATAAAGCATTTAAGACAGACCTACCACTTACATATTAATCACCCGTTTTGCTGAACTTAGAACACTGCTTTTTAGCATTATCCCAAATATATTGCAAAGTTTAAAGTATTTTCACAGTGATTTCATTCTTCTTCATAGCCCTCTTCCCACAGATACCAGGGAAATGGGAACTGAGGAGGAGAGTAACATGAAATAGTAATTTTATCTACCCTGGAGCAAGCTGTGCTCAGCACAGACGGACCCAATCACAGTCCTACAAGTACCTGGGCTGCTCCCCTCCTGACCTGGAACAGTCCCCTGGTACACTGTCATCATGGAAGCAGAGAAAACACATCTGTTAAAAATGAGCTTTAGTGGAAAAAATTCAGCTGGCATTCTCTTTTCCTCTCTGTCGTTCTTTTTTTAATAGCACTCTTATGTAAGGTCGTTACTATATATAGTAGAGCATGCGGAGCTGTGGTTGACCTGGACAGAGGCAGTCAGATGTGGGCCATTCCTACCACTTCCCACCTTTGCGGGCCCAGAGGCAGCTGACCCTGCTGAACGGCGGGAGTGGAGGCACCTGGAACCCCAGCCCTCTGCGTCCTTGGAATGACCGCACTGCTGTTCTCGCATCTTCAGCCTCCCACCTATAGAACCGGCACAAAGCCTACTTCTGATCTAACGCACTGGGGATGCCTGTGGAACCTCAAAGAACATCTGGGAAACATTTTTTTTGGCTTTGTCAGTAATGCGTGTTTTTCCCTGTATATCCATCCAAGACTTATGCAAGAGCTAGAATTCTAACATTCCAGTCTAAGAAACCTAGACTGTCCTACCATCCCTGACCAGCTTGTCTAAGCAAGATAACTGCCTATTTATTGCCTGTTCTCCCACCCCCAGTCTTTCTCAAGAGCAGAGTTTACATCTATTCTGTTCAACAGTTGTTATCTTAGATACAGCACACAGTCCACGAATGAATGAATGACTCCATGAGTAAACAGAGGCAGTAGCAGCGAACATCGATTGAACACTTACGGTGCGACTCTAGACAACTTATCAGCACCTCTGTTTTCTCATCTGTGAAATGGGGTAATAACACAACCTACATAGTACAGCTGTTGCAGGAATTAAGAGAGAACAGTGCTGAGTTGTTATCAAAATCCTCTCTTCCTCTTTTAGGCGGTGGCACCATCCCTGAGCCCGTTTCACGAGTCAGAACTGCATGAGTCAGGCCCGCCTGACCCCATCTGCCTAGTCTCAACCACCCTGAGTCCTGCCCTTCCCCCTCCTACACGTCTCCCACACGCTGCTCTCTTCCGTGCGGCCAGCCAGTTTCAAAACCCACACAGAATCCTGTGACTCTCTTGACTTCCCTGTCCCCAACAGCCTGCGCTTGCTCTTAAAATCAACTCCAAATTCCTTCCCCTGGCCCACCAGACCTGGTCAGCCCCTGTAGCCTCCTCTCCTCTCCCTCCCACCCCCATTCTCAGATTCTGAGCCCGTCCTTCGATGTGCAATCCCTCCTGACTGCATACCTGTCTCTCTCTCCCGTTTAGCCTCCAGATGTCTAATCAAACATCACTTCCTGAGGCTCCTTCCTCAGGCCTCCAGACCACACGAGGTCCTTCAGTTTCCTGCCCTCAGAGGTTGTGGCACATTTTTTCACAGCATTTGCCATGCCAGCCCTTCCTACATGCCTTTTATTTGGTCTCTAATAATTCCATGCACCCAGGCCAGGCCCTTAAGGCTCTTTTCTAGCTTTGGTAAGATACAAGCTGGGAGGCAGGATACTGATGGAGGAGCGAGCGGAGGCGGTCTACAGAGCCTCGGAGACCTTCTGTGGACTTCCTCCAGAGATACCACTGGTCATCTGTAAGATAACCTGTACTTCACTTTTAAGGCCAAAATTTCGATGGCAAAAAAATTTCTGTACACACATGGGAAAAGCTAGTAATTACACTGGCTCAAAGAGAAAGTTACTGTGTGAGATGCTCAGGTATGAAGTCCTCTCAGATGCTGCTAGCTCACTTCTCATTTTCCTAGCAATAATTAGCTGTGTGTGACTTTTCTCCCTTTACATTGCAGTGCAGCTTCTGTTTTTCCCAAATGGCTAAAATTATGAGAACGGATATATTAATCCTAAAAGTAAACGACGTTTTTTGTAAGGTTTAACAGGGAATAAATAAACAGATAATGTTACCAAAAGCAACTGAGGCAGGGAAAAAGGCAATTCCAGTGCAAAGTCATACTACCCATTGATACCTGTCAAACATAAAATATTCTAAATTCAAACACGTAGGTTTCTTGATATCCATACCTAGAAAGCATTAGAGGGAATTAAGAGAAACTATAGCCGATTAACTCATCTAAAAACCCACAAAGCAGAATAAATCTAATCACCACGGCTTAAGGCAAATACCCCTTGCAAAATAACCAAAAATTCAAGCTTTAAGAGCAACTACACTCTTGCAGGGACTACCAACTTTGGGGGTGCTTCTTTCTGAGACAGGGTCCCACTGTGTTGCCCAGGCTGGAGTGCAGTGGCATGATCACGGCTCACTTGACTTCCTGGGCTCAAGCAATCCTCCTGCCTCAGCCTCCCGAGTAGCTGGCACCACAGGCGTGAGTTACTGCACCTATTTTTGTAGAGACAGTCTTGCTGTGTTGCCCAGGCTGGTGTTTTTTTTGTTTTTTTTTTCCTTTTCATTCTACCTTCTTACCCAGCCCTCTCAGTGAATTTAACAAATACTGATGAGCTTTTACTACATGCTGGGTGCCAGAAATCTAGTAGCGATGAAAACAGACCCAGCACTTGCTTTCATGAAGCCACATGACGCCAGCAGGTAACTGTGTAGCCTAAAACAGAAGAATGTTTAAGGGCATTAAAGCAGGTACTTTGTATTGCTGGGTTTGGTGTCTGTTTCTTTGCTATCTAATTTAATACATTGAGCTTTACATCTGTGCAGCCTTGTGTGTCCGTGTCCCTCTGGTGGGCATTTCCAGTCAGGTGGCATGGGGCGAGGGGTGCGCTGTGTCTTTACGTCCCTCATTTCTCCAGCCTGTCCAGGTAGCGTCTATGTCTCCGACTCACTCAGGAAGGCAGGAGACTTTCAGATTCAGTCACTAGTATCAAGAGCTCAGCTCTGGTGACAGCGCTGCCAGCAGCGGCAGAGGACCTTTCGTCTTAGACTCCCCTCTTTCTTCTGCCCTTGACAGCAAGGTGTTGCCTCCATTTTCCAGGAAACCTCCACACGTTTCCAGGAGACCTGAAATGTGGTGGCAACTTCCACATTAGATTATTTTGGTAGACAGAGATAGTACTTAGTGTAATGTCACCTATATGCTTATCAAATGGGGGAAGGGTCATAATTATTTTAATGTCTAGTATGAATGGTTTTTAATAAATTACTTATTAAAGTGCCAAGGTATGTCTTTTAATAGAAACAGGTTTCAGCTGGGCATGCTGGCTCACACCTGTAATCCCAGCACTTTGAGAGGCCAAGGCAGGTGAATCACTTCAGATCAGGAGTTTGAGACCAGCCTGGCCAGCACGGTGAAACCCTATCTCTACTAAAAATACAAAAATTACCCGGACATGGTGGCAGGTGCCTGTAATCCCAGCTACTTGGGAGGCTGAGGCAGGGAGAATTGCTTAAACCCGGGAGGCGGAGGTTGCAGTGAGCTGAGATGGCGCCATTGCACTCCAGCCTGGGTGACAGGGCCAGACTCCGTCTCAAAAAAATCCCAAAACCAAACAAACAAAAAAACCAAACAGGTTTGGAATGAATGCAAAAAAATCCACGAGACTGGTCAGTTGCACTATTAAGTTATCAAACAGTTTTATCCTGCCTCTCTCTTCAATTTTATATATTTAGGTCACTTAATTTATGGGGGTATGGAGGAGATATATATTCTGGAGATGGAGAAAATAAAAGCAAGTCAGAATGTGGGTTCACAGGCTCCGAGGCAGAGAATCAATGCTGGTGTACCTGGCAGGTTAGAGGACTGGGAAGAAGGACCAGGAGGGAAACGGTGGGAAGTGGGGCTGTGCCGCTGGCTGGGAGGGGCACCCCCTGGCCGCCTCCGGCCTCTCAGTGACACCTGGCCAGATTAATTCCTTCAGCACATTGCTCTTGCCTGCCCACGGAAGGCCAGGCTTCACGGCTAGGATTTGCAGAGACATGCTAAGCTGCAGTAAAAAGTGCATGTTTCGTATGATACTCAGCAACTTCTGAGCTAAACTAAGAGAGCATATTAGAAATGACAGACTTCGAAATTATGTCAGTGACAAAAGGAGACTGACTTTCCCAACAGAATACTGCATCCTTCATCCTTCCAGGCTCTGCAAACAGGTTTGCAATGTGAACAACTGTTATCTTTTAGAGGACTTTTAGAAGGTGTATGGGCCGGGCGCGGTGGCTCAAGCCTGTAATCCCAGCACTTTGGGAGGCCGAGGCGGGTGGATCACGAGGTCAAGAGATCGAGACCATCCTGGTCAACATGGTGAAACCCCGTCTCTACTAAAAACTACAAAAATATTAGCTGGGCATGGTGGCGCGTGCCTGTAATCCCAGCTACTGAGGAGGCTGAGGCAGGAGAATTGCCTGAACCCAGGAGACGGAGGTTGCGGTGAGCCGAGATCGCGCCATTGCACTCCAGCCTGGGTAACAAGAGCGAAACTCCGTCTCACATACCATATTCAAAACAAATCATTTTATAGTCAGGGAAATGTTTCCCTCTTATTTTTTAAATTATTGGTGCGGAGTGGGGCTGAAGGGAGAGCACTTCTTCCTCGCAGGAGCCAGGTTGCAGGAGAAAGGCCTTTCACACAGGAGCCGGAGAGCTGCGGCCTCGCCAGCTGCCCCACACTTGGGTTCCGGCAGATCGCTTCATCTCAGGACCCGGGCAAGTGAAGTTTCCTGGCTATGCGCTCAGACAAAACTTTTCCTGCTTAAAGTCAGATCTTTCCTTTCTTAGTATTCTTTGAGTAAGAGAGAGTATTAAAGAAGTTTATTGCTTTTAAAAATTAAGGAAATACACAGAAAAACTGGTTAGGAGTTTATTCACTATATTTATGACACCAAAGATTAGCAAATGCATCCGTAAGTAGACATAATAAAAATGGAATGAATATAGCCTGGCATTTCTTTTAATGGAGGTGGCCTGGGGGTGAGAAGAGGGAATGGGGAAGAGCAGCTGGGGACCAGCTCTCGGTGGAGCTGCACATGGCACAAATCCCAAGAGTGCCAGTTAGTTCTTCTCTCCAAGCATCAGTGATTTTTGCTTGAAAAATGGGATTAATAATACCTATAATGAGAGATCTTGTAAAGTTTATGTGAGGTTATAAATGTAAAAGTCTAATATCAAACCTGGCTATCAAGAATTTAAATCTCCTTTCGTTTTCCATTAATAATGATAAAACACAAATACTGAGCATGGTTTATATTGAAAACCTTCTCAGGGTCTCAAAATCTAGTCGAAAATCCAATTCAGACTTTAAAAAGCAGACATTCAGTTCTCCCCAGATTTGTGAATGAATGCATTGTTACTACAGAAGTTCAGGTGCCAAAATATACACCGTCTCTTCCTTTCTCCTTTTATGTCTGCAGCTAAGTCAGCCAGAGCATTCTAGAAATCACCTTAAAAATGCATCCCTCTTCTCCTACTGAAGTAGGAGACAAAAATCTGATCTGGCTTCTTCGAAAGCAAACAACAAAACATCCCAACATGCAACATAACCCTGAGTCTTTAAAAGAAAGCTGGTGCTTGCACCAGGGGCGTGCAGAGGTCTGGAACCCATTACAGTCAGTTCCCTAAGGGGCAGCTTATCTCTTCCTCTGATGCTATCAGTTTGCCAAGGAAAGTTAAAGACAAAAGTCATCTGCTGCACCCAGTTGGAATGTGACCACGTGCCAGAACTTGAAATACACGAAGACTAATTTATGTCCCGAGGGGAGCGGCTCTCATGGTAAGGATTGAATCGGTATATCCTGCTTGAAGGGAAATATTCTCACAGCCTGCAGGAAGGGACGTAAAATAACCTCCTCTCATCTTGACTCACTAATTCGTGCTCTTGTGTTGCATTTAAGGGAAAGTTCATTTGTGTCTGCAGCGAACTTCAAAGCTAATCATACTACAAAACTGTACAGAATGAGCATCTTGAAATTATTTCTGAAATAATTTCAGGTAGCCTCTGAGATTGGTAAACTTTAGAAATAAAGTATACTTATAAAGCGGCATCTTATTACTTTGCACAAGACTGATTTAGGATCATTATTCGGTATGATATACATTTTGCCAATCTAAGCCTTTCCTTTCAACTGTTTAAGGCACAGAATGCTTGTGTGTGTGTGTGTGTGTGTGTGTGTGTGTGTGTGTGTGTGTGNTCCTTTCAACTGTTTAAGGCACAGAATGCTTGTGTGTGTGTGTGTGTGTGTGTGTGTGTGTGTGTGTGTGTGTGTGAGAGTGTGTGTGTGTGTGTGTCTGTGTGTGTGTGTGAGAGAGAGAGAGAGAGAGAGAGAGAGAGAGAAACCACCAAGTCGATCTGTATCTAAGATGTCCAGTGTATCTGGCACACTATCTGGGCTGACAGGCAGTGAACAAGGCTCTTGCTAGGCCTGGTTTTCAGTCATTGACAACAAAGATCGGTACCTTCAATCTCTGAATTACACACATTTATGGCTTTTCTTTTTAGTTTTAGAACCCATCAAGGACAGGCTCTAAGACAAAGCAAAGCGGCCGGCTCCCATCTGCTGAGTAAGCAGTGGAGTTCTTTTGTTCACTTTCACTTTGCCCAGGGGTGGGGTAGGGCGGGGTGGGATGGGACGGGGAGGTGGTGGGATGGAGGTGGGAACGGACGGGGTGGGGCAGGGGTGGGCCAGGGGTGGGACGGGGTAGGACTGTGGGAGGTGGCTTAATCAGTCCTTAGCCACCACCTGAGGGCCACTCTCCAGGAACTTACTCCCCCCTCTGGGCTCAGTTTTCTTAGAGCTTAAATGAGTAGATTAGGCGAAATTCTGGCTCTAAAACAGAGTAACCATTACAGGGAAGCGAACAGTAATTCTGAATAATACTGATTGGGAAATAGGAGAGTGCCAGAACTAGTTCTACTGCTAATCAGCTCTCCCTTAATATGTCTGGGACTTGGTTTCTTCCCATTTTTTCTTTTTACAAAAAGAATATTCATTATGAGAAATTAAAGTATCAGAAAGTAAAACTATAAAAGAGTATAACTGGATTGTTTGTAACACAAAGGGTATGTGCTTGAGGTGGTGGATATCCCATTTACCCTGATGTGATTATTATGCATTGCATGTCTGTATCCAAATAGCTCATGTACCCATAAATATACACACCTATGTACCCACAAAAATTAAAGATAAAATATTTAAAAAATAAAGTGAAGGTAGTAGGATAATAAAGTAAAAGGACTTCCCCCATAACCACCAATCCTCATACAATTCCACTCCACAGGGCAAAACACTACTATCTTTCTAGAACATTTACTTTACAAATATAAATAATTATAACACCCATATGTTTACACGTTTGGGTTGTCTGTTCACAAAAGTTGGATCAAGCGTATGCACATTCTCCTCAGTAATCTTTTGTCTTTCAATGACATGCCGTGGGCCTCCTTCCGTGTTGGTACATGAAGATTTATTTCATGCTTTTGAATGGCCTCATAGTACAGACAAACAATTCTTTATTGATAGACGTGTTCTCTTCAAGTACTCATTAGTGCAAACAGTGTAGCAATAAAGCTTCCTGTACAACTTGTACTGTACACTTGTTTTGAGTTTTCTGTGGGGAACATGTCTAAAAATGAAATTATTGGGTCAAAGGATATGTGAATTTGACATTTTAATGGATATAGTTAGATTGCCCTCAAAAATGTTCTTAGGACTTTATCTGAAAACAGAGGAAAGAACAGATGATTCTTTTCTAATCTTTTTTCAACCGAGCTTCCAATCCAATTAAAAGGCTTAAAAGCTGGAATGGAAGATGGGAGCAGCTTGGAGTTCCAGTCCCCCTTCAACCAGCCCACTACCAGCCCACTAATTTCAAGCCTTTTCTTTTTTCGCAAGGATCAAAACTCTGTTTTGCTTTGGTCTTAACATTGCCAAATTAACATTTTTCATGGTAATGTTCCTAACCATAAATGAATTGCTTATTTCTAGTGGTGGGTAAGAAATGGATGTCCTCGTACCCACTGGACACCCTGGCTGTGCACCTGGTGATGGGGATCCTGGCAGTGCCAGTGTGGGCACACACCCGCACTCTGAGAGCCTCGGATTTTCGGAAAGCCCTTTGGTTCTGAGGAATGAGCTTGCGGCGAGAGGACTCCCATCTTCCTCTGGGTAGACTGTGATTTACATGTATTTGAATGGTAATCAGTTACCTTAATTACTATATCTTTTCTGTTACATCTCACTACCATGACATGCAGGCTCTTTAACAGGTCACCTGTAAAGACGAAACTGCAAAATTCCACATGGACTTCCTGGAGTTACCTCTTACAGATAATCCCTACTCTCCCTCACATAACAGTTTGAAATTGATTTAAGGCAACTGCAAAATAATTCCATGTCTTTCTCATCTTATAAAAGGAACTCTTTGTTGGTCAGATGTTTTTAGTGTTCAAATTGATTCCTTATACATTATTTAAAGTCTTAGGTTTACAATAATCACCCATTACCTAGAGCTGCTTAAATTACCCATACCAAATGGACACGTTTAACTCTCAGTTATGCAAGTTATAAAAGGAAACATGAGAAAACTTGAAACTTCTCCTTGACTGTAGTGGGTACATATGTATAACACTCCCAATACATTTCCTGTTCTAGATATTTTATGTAAGAATGAAAATAGTAAAGTGTGCAGTGGGTGTAGAGCTGAGCAAATGGACAAGTTAATATTTATACATACGTGGCTGAATGCACAATTAGAGCAGAGGACTTGGTCACAGAATGATATTCAGTAAGGGAAGGAAGAGCAGCAGTAAGAGGTATCTGAGCACAGCTACTTACCGTCTCAGATTATTGCAAAGGAAGCCTCCGGGATTGAGACCACATTAATTTGAAATCTGTGATACCTCAGAGAGTTTCACTAACAACTAAAAAGGGAGCTTGTCAAATAAATCAGTGGGATAACACTCCGCAAAAGGGCTGCTTAAGACACACAGCTTTCCAGCCCTTGTGGAGCGCCCATGACCTTTCCATTTAAACCATGGCTTTACTTCCCACCGGTTCTTTCTTAGTCCTGACTAGCGGAGTTCTTTGTGTGAATAAATCTTTCTTTTTACAAAATGTTTTATGATTTAGGAGTCTCTTAAACTGTAACAACTAGTCTCGTGAGTACAGTTGCCCGTCAGCATTTGAGGGAACTGGTTGCAGGAACCCTTTGGATACCAAAATCCACAGATGCTCAAGTCCTGATAAAAAATGTCCTAGCATCTGCACATACCCACATCATCCTCCTGTATACTTTAAATCATCTCTACAGTACTTACAATATCTAATACAGTGTAAAGGCTATGTAAATAGCTGTCATGCTATATTGCTTTTTTACTGGTATTATTTCTATTATTGTATTATTGCTTTTGTTTTGTTTTTCCAAATACTTGTGATCTGTGGTTGGTTCAATCCATGAATGTGGAACCCAGGGATCCAGAGGGCCGACTATTATCTAAGACAGCCAATACTACTGGAAATGAAGAAAGGTGTTAGTAAGGGTCCTAAAATTCCTTAAATGATTAGAAAGATTTCTCCAGTGATATAGACAGGTAGGACAGATTTTGATCAATTTATGACTGTATCTCTTGATAGAAAACACATCTTCATGTTTCCTTGGCACTCTGGGCGAGGCAAGCAAGGCCTTCCTTAACCTGTAAAGCCTGCCTCACCGCCTCCACTCCGTCGCCCCTCCAGCCACACTAGCCTCGTGCCATCCACCTGACACACAGCCTCTCCACACCGACCTCTCCACTGTCGGGTCTCGGTTCTCTCCTGAGCTTCTCCTCACTCCCCGAGACACAGCTGGTCAGTCCCTCCTCAGGGGACACCGAATCTCAATTCATTCTGCATCCAGGTCCCTCCCTTCCAAGCCCAACCCATGAGGGCCTGGTCAATGTCCTATTCATTCAGGGGAATGCTGAGCACAGAGCAAACTCAGGACACATTTGCCGAGTAAATGAATGATACTGGATGTGCTTGCTAGCTTGTTAAAGCATTTGGAAAGACTTTCTAGTATGTCTTCATAACTTTTTAATATTTGGAGTTCATCCTTCATTAGGAAGTTGGCAGGGAAGATATACTGTGGGAGGCCATAGTCCAATTTCCTGTTGCACAACTTCTTTCATTTCACCTCACATATTCTCATAAATCTCAGATAAAATTAGAATACCACAGAAATCACAGGGTCCTGCGCTGATGGCACAGTTTTTGAGGAGCGACTGAGACTTGGAATGAGGAAAGTTCGGTGTTACAAAAGCTCCAAGCTGCCCAACCAACTCTGAAATCCACACGTTCTTTAACTTCTCAAGGCCTGTGGGGTTCCCTCTTCTCTCTTCTGAGTGTGTATGTGTATTAATAAGGATAAACAATGATCTCCCAGGACTGTAGAGAATTCAGAATGTACATAAAACACTCTGTAAATATCCAGCATCACTAAATATTTACTAGGTGGATGAAGCAGTTCACTTGGACTTGAGTAGAGAAAGGCCAGCCAAGTGTAATCTTTATTTCTAGGCACGCTCAATCCTGTTTTTCATTTTTTTTTTTTTTTTTTTTTTTTTTTTTTTTTTTTTTTACAAGTGATCTAGTTATGGTTTTCTAGAAAAATTGCATCCAAACCAAAACAAACAAACAAACAGTCAAAGCTCTTTGATTCGCACAGCCAAATACATGACTTCCCTCATGAGTAGGGACACACAGTAGGTGGACAAGCTGGCGGCATCCCTTCTAACGTGTGAGGGAAGGACACCCACATCTCCCTTCTCTGGTTGGCTAAAATTCAGCCTTACCAACTCCTTCTCACTTTCACTGAAGTTCTTACTAGATGTGCTATAAAGCTGCAATTATTTGTGAGACACACATGAATAAGAGAGGCGCCCATGCTTTGGCGAGGTGTGGTAAATTTGGCAGGGAAGTTCCATTTCCGTAACATTGTTTCCAGCCCAGGAAATGTCTCAGGTGGCTTGGTATGGGTAAGCTGCTGCCAGGTTTTC